TTCCCTCCTCTGGTTTGATCATATACTAATTCTAGCTCACAGAACTCAGGAAAATATTAAAAATTTACTTACTAGATTACCAGTTTATTATAAAAGGATACAACTAGGAAACAGCCAGATGGAAGAGATGCATAGGGCAGGGTATGGGAGAAGGGACGCAGAGCTGGGTGCTTTCTGGGTGCACCACCCTCCTGGCACCTCTACATGTTCACCAACCCCAAAGCTCTTTGAGCCCCGTCCTTTAGCCATGGAGGCTTGCTTACCTGGGCACGACTGATTAAATCATGAGCTATTGGTCGTCAACTCAACCTTCGGTCCTTCTCTTTTCCCTGGAGGTGGGATGGGGCCAGATATGGTTGTGGGGCTGATAGTTTCAACCCTCTAATCACGTAGTTGGTTTCCCTGGCAAGCTGTCCCCATCCCAAGACTATCCAGGCAACCCCGGCCATCAGTCATCTCATTAGCACAAAAAAGACACATCACTGTGGAGATTCCAAGGGTTTTAAGAACCGTGTGCCAGGAAAGGGAGGCGGTTATGTCACAACACTTAAATGAAATACAGTTATTCATCAAATGCTGACTAAGCTCTTGCCATGTGCCGGGTTCCGAGGGGAATTCTGAGATGGATAAAACTCCGTGCTCGTGCCCAGGGAGTTCACAGCCTGGTGAAGGAGATAGCTGGGCTCTAGGAAAGGATGACGTTGGTGCCATCAGAGAGGGACCAGCAACTCTCCTAGAAGCACAGGAGAAGGGGAGATTAATGCTGTCCAGGAATCTAAAAAGCTCCTTGTAGGCGTAGAGAATGGATCTGGATAGGAGGAAAGGGAGGGTGCTATTTTAGGAGTACAGTAGTCCCCCTGCCCCATCCTTGGGTTCACTTTCTGAAGTTTCAGTTACCATGATCAACTGTGGTCTGAAAATATTAAATGGAAAATCCCAGAAATAAATAATTCATAAGTTTCAAGTTGCATGCCATTCTGAGTAGCACAGAGTCTCCAGACATCCCGCTCCATCCCACCTGGGACTTGAATCCTCCCTTTGTCTGGCACATCCACACCGTCCATGCCCACTTCTGTTAGCCACTTGGTGCCATCCTGGTTATCAGATGGACCGTCAGAGCATTGCAGTGCGTGTGTTCCAGTAACCCTCGCTTTACCTAATACTGGCCCCAAAGTGCAAGAGTAGTCATGCTGGCATCTTATTATAATTGTTCTATTTTATTATTAGTTATTCTTATTAGGCACAATCTCTTATTGTGCCTAATTTATAAATTAAACTTTATCACAGGTATGCACTGGCGTGGGGTACAGGGGAAAGAATACTGGACTAAAAGCCAGAAGATCTGCACTCTAGTTCTGGTTCTGCCATTTATTTCTGTGCCGTAGGGAAAATTGCTTGCTTTTTCTGACTCTCAGCTTTCTAATCTGCAAAGGAGGGATAGTATCTGTCCTTCCTGTCTCAAAAGTTTGTGGCGAATGTTAAATGAGAAAACTCACTTGAAAGTATTTTGTGTATCTAAGCATGCTGTATAGATGTAAGAATAATTTATATTTGTGTTTACTCTCATTCCTTGAAATGCCTATAAAAATAAATCCCTTATTACACCAACAACAGAGGGGAAGGCAGAATGACAAGAGTGCCAGTCTAAGGGAGCCAGCAAGCAGACATCGAACCTCCTCCCTCCTTGCTCCTGAAATGTCTACAGTTAACTCAGGGAAGAGGGCTCACAAAATGCCCAGGTATCCCAAATCCGTTAATACATGAGTTTCCCAGCCAAGTGGGGAGATAAAGATTTGTTTTATCTGAAAGATTAAACAAGGCTGCGTGCGGTGGCTCACGCCTGTAATCCTAGCACTCTGGGAGGCCGAGGCAGCAGATCGCTTGAGCTCAGGAGTTCGAGACCTCCCTGAGCAAGAGCGAGTCTCTACTAAAAATAGAAAGAAATTGGCCAAACAACTAAAAATAGAAAAAATTAGCTGGGCATGGTGGTGCATGCCTGTAGTCCCAGCTACTTGGGAGGCTGAGGCAGGAGGATCACTTGAGCCCGGGAGTCTGAGGTTGCTGTGAGCTAGGATGATGCCACGGCACTCTAGCCCGGGCAAGAGAGTGAGACTCTGTCTCAAAAAACAAAACAAAAAATAAAAACATTAAACAAAATTCACTGGAAGAGAAATGATGATGTAACTTTTTCTTATGTTTTCACTCTCAGGAAATAATAATTAATAATGCTCATTACTTCTGTCTTGCAGGGTGTTTGCCTCAGAGAGGGGAGATTCAGGTTTAAGAGTGAGCTCTTTGTTGCGTCACCCAGAAGTGGAGAAGGGACTCTTCTCCGTCGTAATTCAGTCTCTTTTTCTCTATCTAGGTTTAGAGGAATTTGTAGGGAGTGTGGAATGCAAGTAGATTTATTCCCCAAATGTAAAATTCAGGCGCTGTGGAGATATATACAGGACAGCAGTGGCATGAGATTGTCAAAATAAAATCCCTAAATCGAATAAACAGTGTTTTGAAAAAACTGGCCTGTATGTGAAGATTTATCCTTAGATGAACTTTTCTCCCACCCAGTATTTTTGTTAAGGAAACTCCCCATGTTCCATCCTTTCATAGAGATTAGAAGAGCCTCAGATGTTGGTCTGGTCCAGGATGGAGTTTGGATAAAAGCACATGATCCCGGACAGAAGGATCAGCCCTACTTTCTCCAATCTCTCAAAGTCTGAGCCTTGGGGCTTCCCCAGAGGTGACCAGGAGTCCAGACCTCGCCCACCTGTTCCCACCTGGCGGCCTTTGGGCACTGCCTTCCAACTTGCCGTCTTGTTTGTTCCACTCCCCGGCTGTCTCATTAGTCCACGGCCTCCCCCTGCGATAAGGGTTACCTGCTTATCTTTCTCTCTTCCAATTCCAGCTCATACTCCACAGCCGTGGCTTCCCTCCAGTCCAGGGTTGCTTAACCTCAGCACCATTGACATCTTGGGTCACATAACTCTTTGAGGAGGCTGTCCTGTGCACTGTAGAATGTTTAGTGGCCTTCCTGGTCCATTCCACTAGATGCCCATAGCACCTCCCACTAATGACAACCAGAAATGTCTCTAGACATGCTCAATGTCCCCTGAGGACAAAGTCACCGCATCGAGAATCCCTGCTCTAATCCTTTCTCCCTTTACTTGGAACTCTTGTTCGTTATTAAGCATTTACCCCGTGGAAGACACTGGGTTAAGTCCTTTGAGTGTTTTATGCAGATGCTTCTCAAAATTTAATGTACGTAAGAGTCACCTCGGCAGTTTCTTAAAATGCATATTCTAATTCAGTAGTTTTGGGGAAGGGCTTAAGCTATGTTTCCACCAAGCTCCCAGGTTGCTGCTGGTTCATGGACCACACTCGGTGAGAGCAAAGCTACGTGTCATTGCGTCCTCACGGTCCTATGAGGACTCTGTTTCACAGGCACATTTTGCATCCAGGTCTGCGTGCCTCCAATGCTGTGCTCGTAACCAGAATCTCAGCTGGTGATGGCCCAAGGTTCCTGAGTTCTCTGGCGCCCTCCCTCCTTAGGTGATGGTACTGTGATAAGCTCCTCTGAGGCTGAGGCCCAGGCACGCGTTTGCCTGGACTACCCACGCTAGATCACTCCTTCCTCAGACAGTGCGCTACTCACAACCAGAGGTGCATCCTGGAGCCTGCCGAGGTGTATCCATGACCTCATGCCTCTGTCCTAGCCTGCCCCGAAACAGCTCATCCCTCCTGCCCTCCAGTCGGCTGGGATTGCAGCTGCCCTGGGGGCTCATTTTCCTTCTCAGCTTCCTGCCTGAGCTGCCTATGCACTCCAGCCCTCTCCTGCCTCCCCCTCACCTATCGCTCCCATGCTCTTACCTGGTCTTCTTTTCTGTCTCCTCACTGCCTCTTGGCCTCCTCTTGCTCCACTGGTTAGGGACTTTTAGTAATGCCCCAGAACAGATTCTAAAGGGGGGAGAAAAAACGTATGCTGTGAGCCCCTGCCCAGGACTGGAGGGCAAGACTCAGGCCCCCCAGGAACAAGGTCCTCACCCTGGTGGCAGCTACGGTGCAGCAGGCCGCTGGCCAGGGATCACATGCAAGTGGTTCGTTCGCTCAAGAGGACACACAACACTGAGTAGGCGATGAAGGGTGGGGTGTTGGCACCCGAGGGATTGGGAAGGGGCTGCTAAGAGCCTTTTCCACCCAGTGTCCCCCAGTGTCTTTCTTCTCCACTGAGCTGGAGAAAGCTGCCCTGCCCCTCACATCACATTCTTGAGCCCATTTCTCTTGCCTGGACCCAGGTTGAAGCAAACTCTCACAATGGCTGTGCCGGGCCGGGGCAGGGCCGGGGCTGGATAAGTTAGAGCAGGGCACGGCAGGCACAGCAAACTCTTCCTGTACAGGACCAGAGAATAAATATTTCAGGCTTTGTGGGCCATATGGTCTCAGTCACAACTACTCGTCTCTGCCACTGTGGCACAAAAGCAGCCAGAGACAATATATAAACAAATGGGCTTGGCTGTGACCATTAAAACTTCATTTATGGACACTGAAATCTGAGTTTTGCATAATTTTCACATGTCATAAAATATCGTTCTTCTGATGTTTCTTCCCAATCCTTTAGACATGTCAAACCTATTTTTAGGTCACAGGGCTACGCCGTTCTTAACTTAGCAGTGGCAAGCTGGTCTGGCCCAAGGCCTGCAGTTGGCCAATCCCTGATGCAGAGTCCAGAGTGTCCTGAAATGTGTTCCTCAGGGACAGGGGCAAATACTGGAAATGCTGGGTTAGGCAGAGTCAGACTCATCCCCCTGCCCCCCACTGGGCTTCTCAAAGCCTTTACTCTTCTCCGCAGCATTGCATGTTTCCAGGAGGGGCCAGCACACACCAGGCTTCTCTAATCGACCTGACTAGGAGCTCACTGGTTTCGTGCGGCATCCTGCAAGACAAGCATTCTGGGGACTGTGCTTCGGGAAACCCTGCTCCGGCTGATGCCCTTGTTTGACACACAGGGAAACGGAAGCCCGAGCTCCTGCTATCCGGAGATCGGGTCAGAGCCGTTGACTGCACTGCCACTCCTGATACACCCACATCACCTGTGTCCCCTGAGTGGTTCCAGGCAGAGCAACGCAGTCCAAGGCTGCCCCACCAGGACACCGGGGCACGTTTTGGTTGAGCAAATGTAAGCCTAGGGACTGTGGGTGGCTGCATGTCGGGAAACACTCCTAAAATTCCTGGCCCTGATGGATTAAAGGAGAGGTACTTGCAGGTTATCCCTAGCCTCTGGGCTACTCTCCCATCACCCACAGGGCATCATTATTAAGTGATTTTGACAGCAAGGAGCCTGATGCTCTCTGCACAGTAATAATGATTTTACATGTGTACAGTTTACAAAGCACTTCTGTGTTACTTTTGCATTTGTTCCCTACACCTGCCCCCTGGGGAATGCGGAACAAAGTTTTATAATTTTTATTTTAATAGATGTAAGACACTGTGGCTCAGGGAAGCTAGGAGCTACAGAGCCAGTGGCAGAGTCTGAACTCAGACCCAGGTATCATCTCACCTGAGCCGCTGCTTTCCCCTTTGCGCTATTGTCTTAGACCGAAGGGTGACTAGGCAATGAAGTAATTCTCTAGGAAAGCATGACCAATTTCCCTGTCTCCACCTCCCTCTTCTTCCTCCGCCCCTCCCCCCAGCCCCCATATATACTTACAGATCCCCAGGAAGCCTCGCTTGCCTGCACACCTTTGCTTTTGAAACGACTTCCACAGCTGGGGCAGGAACTTTCCAGCCACAGTTATACCCTGATGGGTGAATGGTGAGAGAGCTGCCCAACCTTCCCCTTCTGTGCAAAGAACTAGCCACCTGCAGACAGCCGGTCCCCGAGTGTCACTTATAGGAGGACCTGAGGTGAGTGATGGGGGACCTCTTTTTTTTTTTTTTAATTAATTAATTTATTTTTAGAGATGGGTCTCACTATATTGCCCAGGCTGGACTCGAACTCCTGGGCTCAAGCGATCCTTCTGCCTCAGCCTCCCGAGTAGCTGGGATTACAGACGCCACCGCACCGGGCCATGGGGGATTCTTGAGTACTCTGCTTTGACGCACCAGACCGCTGCCTTATTTGGGAACGGGGGTTGAGGTGGTGGCAGAAGTCACTTTTTTGAGTGTTTATGTAAAGACAAAGCGTGACCGTGGGTGAGGAGCTGCTTTCTCCAGTTTCACATCAAGAAGACTTGAGGCTGGATTGGAGGGAGGCCAGGAGGGTCATGAGAACCAGAGATAAATTTTCGAGAGAGGCTGTAAAGCCCATGGAGTTTGGAAGAACAGAAGGAAAAGACCCGGAGGGAGATGCCGAAGCACAGACCCGGGGGACGGAGGCTGGTGGTGCCAGCCCTGGGCACCGCCTGCCTAGCCCAGGTGTCGGCAGTCGCCCCAAGGGCAGGTCTGTGGTCCTCCTGCCCAGGCTGGGGGTAGGAGACTGGTGCCCGGAATAAGAAAGGTTCTCAAATGGTTGTGGAAGTAAGTGAGAAAGAAAGGGAGGATGCCAGCTCAGAAGAAAAGAGCAAGCCAGGAGGAAGGGAGGCAGGCAGAGGGCAGAAAGAAGGCACTGGAAAGGAATCCTCTGCACACGGTTATGATAAGTAGACAACGATGTCGAGCTCCTCACAGTCGTCCCGACGGACATTCCAGAGGAAGGTTTCAAAAGTGACTCATCTGGAGTCTTATTCAGTTATTTCAAAGGCGAATTCTTGCAGTGACGTGAGTCAGTCAGTGGAGGTGGCAGAGTGAGTGTGTGGCCCCTGGCCTGCCCTCAGCGCCCCTCTCTAGGGACCAGGATTAGCCCCTCGGCCCCCTTGGGATGAGGAGTCAGGGACGGCCGCCTCCTGAGAGGGACAGAAAGGCGTGCCTGAGTGTGCTTGGTGACTTAAGGCACAAGCACAGGCCTAGCCAAGCTCTCCATCCTCCCGAGTGTGGGCTCCCCAGACACGTTCTGCGGCACACTAGGACCCCCCATTTCTTCACCCTTCCGGTCACATTCTGAGTAGCATGCTGAGGCTACAGAGAACCACAGCAGACAGAGAAGGAGGTGCAGGGCTCGCGGGTGTGCATGGGCCGGGTAGGGGAGGTGGGCAGAGGAATGGCAAGACTAGAGGGCATGAGATTGAGGGGCAGAAAGCCCCTCCACCCCACCCCAGTGCACCCCAGCAAGCCCACAGGTTTGCAATACTCTAGCCTGGGGACCCACCCCGGTCTCAGGTCTCCCATCTGCGTGCCCCGAGGTTGGCCGAGGCAGACCCAAGGAGCGCTATTCTACAGTCAGAGGGCCTCTGGTCAGAGGCTGCCTCAGGGGCTGCCTGCTTTGTCTCAGCAGACCCTACGTTCTCTCTGCAGGCGATGGGCTCCCGAGCGCAGGTGGCTGCCCTCCCTTGCCTGAGTCTGATGCTGCTTCTCTGGAGCCAGCTGCCGGAGGTCCGGGGCCAAGAGTTCCGATTTGGGTCCTGCCGGGCGAAGGGGGTCGATCTCCAGGAACTGTGGGAGGCCTTCTGGGCCGTGAAGGCCTCTGTGGTAAATATAACAAAGTGTGCTCTGGACCCAGCCACAGGGGCTGTCGCGGAGGAGGGATGATACTTTGCGATGACAGAGCCCTCTGCAGCTTGCTAATCAGTTTCCAGTATGATAACCCTGTGAGGTCAGAAGGCGCCACAAGCCCCACTTCACACATGAGGAAACTGAGGCTCAGAAAGATGTGGTCAGCTTCTAGGAAGATAAAGAGAGCCCAAGGGAAATGCAGAAGAGAGCTTGATTCATCCAGCCTTCGTCCTGGATGGACTCTTCGGCTCTAAATCCAAGAGCTAGAATGAGTGGCTGGGCTGCAGAGAAAGTGCCAGGGCCAGAGGCAGATCTGGGGGGCAGCTGACTCCCCCACGCCCACCTCCTCACCATGAGGGATTTGGAGGTGAAATCCTGCCCTAGGGGTTCTTAAACCCAAACCAAATAGGCTGATTTCCTCCCATGTCAAATGACCCAGGCAGTCAAACAGCTCTCTCATCGAGTTGGTGTTCAGGCTCCAAGAACTCCTGGGATTCCACTGGCCCCTGGGAAGTCAAGCTGGGTGGATTTCCATGGCTGAAACCTTGCAACCCCTCTCCAGGGGCCAGCTCAGTACGGCTCTTCCTGGGTCCTCCTTCGGTCCCTCTGGCTTCTGAGATCTCCCAGGCTGGATAGATTTAGGGGTCTAGGGAAGCAGCGCATATCTGCAAGGTCGGTTTCTATGCGGACCCCTAACCTGGAGACATCTTCTCTTTCCGTTCCCAAAGCAAGCTCAGGATAACGTCACGAGTGTCCGGCTGCTGCGGCGGGAGGTTCTGCAGGACGTCTCGGTAATCAGACCTTGGGGAAGGACGGTGCCTCCCTCTGTGGGGCTGGCGTGCTGTGGGTGGGGGTGGGGCTGCCTTAGGGGAGGCTGGTGGGAGCCCTGAACTGACCTTGCGGGCGAGAGGGCCGGGCAGGGACGTCAGTGTGGGCCTGGGGCTATGGCCATGCGGTGTGCGTGTGCGGTGTATGGGGAGCCGGTGCGGATTGAGGCTTGTGAACATCTTTCTCTATTTAGCCAGAGAGCTGGCACCAACTTTAATTTCCCTTTTGCTCGTGTAGGCCCAGTGGGCATCTGTTCAGGTTCACCTCCCCTCTTCCCTCTCCATCCTTTCCTCTCACCCTTACGTCTCCTCATCGCCCGCTTTGCCAGTGAGTGAGCACAGCCAGCTGAGCTCTGACCCCCGAAAGGTGCCGAGCTTCGGGAGCTCGAGGGGGACAGAGTGCAATGGCTGTGTTCAAGGACGTTCCTTTCTCCTCGTTTCTTCTCCTCCCAGTCATCTTCCGGCCAACTCTCAGCCACCAAGTCCAAGATCAAGTGCTTTTCAGGGTCCATCACCTCCCCCATAGCTATTAGAGAAGCCACGTGGTGTAGAAGAAAGAGGATATTAATCAGATGGGCAATCAGGAGTCCCAGGAGCTAGGCCTGTGCCTGCCACTGACCTGCTCTGTATGACCTTGGGCAGGTCCCTTCTCCCTCTGGGTCTGGGTTCCTCCGGTAAAACAAAGGTGCTGCTAGAGCGACCCCGGAAGTCTCCTTCAGATCTGAGGTTCCCTCATCTGCTGGAAGATCCCTGCCTCTACTGTGCTTATCTTGCCTTGGGTGGCATGTGGCTGTTCCTCCGGGGGGCCAGGTGGGCAGAAGCCTTGGCCCCAGAGTGACCCAGACCCTCCCCAGGATGCTGAGAGCTGTCACCTCATCCATGCCCTGCTGAAGTTCTACTTGAATAATGTTTTCAAACACTACCACAAGAGAACAGTGGAATTCAGGCCGCTGAAGTCATTCTCTACTCTGGCCAACAACTTTATCGTCATCAAGTCACAACTGCAGCCCAGTGTGAGTAGAACAAACTGGGACCAGGAGCCGTGGCAGTGGTGTGTTTTGAGAATACGCCCCTCCCTGTATCTGGTCCTGCTCCAGGGAGTCGCGGGTGTCCTGGGAAAGAGCACAGGCTCCGGACGCCGGCAGCTCTGGGTCCAAGTCTGGGCCTGCTTCTATTAATAGTCAGCTAAGTGGCCCTTGGCAAGGTCCTCAACCTCTCTGGACTTCAGTTTTGTTTTCTGTAAAGTGGGGATGATCACACCTGCCTGGCGGGATTGCTGTGAGAATTAAAGGAGGCAGCCCCTGCTGCAGGGTGGGAGTTTGGCACTGGCTACCTGAGGATGCGGGACTCAGCCCTGTCCTCTCAGGCCTTAGGAGCCCCTCTGACATCACCGGGAAGGGTGAGGGGAAAGCTTCCCTCTGCTCCTCCCTAACACTTGGTGCAACTTTTCTCCCCGTTATCCAGCAGGAAAACGAGATGTTTTCCATCAGTGAGAGTGCACGGAGGCGCTTTCTGCTGTTCCAAAGAGCATTCAGACAGGTAAGGCCAGGAGTGGGGAGCTTGCCCATCTAGCAGAAGTAGGCTAGTCTGAACTGTCACGTGAGGGTGCCTCAGAAACCTCATGCAGAATTGAATGCAGGGGACCCCACAAGGCAGCCCCAAAGCCACCTGACTTAGCAGGAACACAGGTATATTTGCACCGATTATCATATACTTTGTATAAGCATCACAAACTAAGTGGTCTTTTTTCCTGCCAGTTTTCAAGTTAAAATGCTACTATATTTCCCTGCAAGATGATTTCACTGTTGAAGACTTTCCCTGTGAGAGTGTTTTATGGGTACTTGCGCTGAGGAACTGAAGTCGGAAGTGAGGCAGAAAGAAAGTAGATGCTCCACCCCCATCCCATACACATCTGCGGTATTGTCCATGATGTGCAAATGGTCTAGTTTGTGAAAAAAAAAAAAATGGGGAATTACATCACCTCTTCCCAAATTAAGACAACGAAGAAAACCCCCCAAATTTCATCCCCAGGTCTCCTCCAAAAACATATGATTTTGATTACTTTTTTGAGGAACAGATACATCGGCCTGTAAATAAATGGTGAAGACAATAACATCCGACAGGAAGGGGTACCTGGGCTCATTTCCTCATGGGCGCAGTGGATGCAGGTCGTGGGCCGCATGCACCCCATGCTGGGGCTGTGGTTCCTGTTGTTAGAGCCACTGTATCCTGTCCCTGTGCTCCTTACCCACTGCTACTCACTGGTCCATTGGTCCTCACCCCTGAAGTGGATAAGCATGTATAGATGGGGGACAAGTGATGGAGAGGCCAGTTCATTAAGGTCATCCCAAAGGTGACCCAGCCCATGATCTAGAGTCAGGCCTGTTTTAGGGAACACTATTCTCATAGCAAATGTGCGGCCTTCAACTCTCCTTTCCTTTTAGTTGGATATAGAGGCAGCTCTGACCAAAGCCTTCGGGGAAGTGGACATTCTCCTGACCTGGATGGAGAAATTCTACCAGCTCTGACGCCTGGACCAGCATCCTCTCCTCACCTGTTCCCTGTGTCATTTCACATGGGTGTCCCTTCCTGTGCTGTTTCCTGGGCACTTCACCCCCTTGGAACAGGCTTATTATCAAAGACGTTGTTCTTTAAGCAGCCCCAGCGACAGTCATGGAAGGCGCCTTTGGATGCTGTGAATAGTTTACAAGGTGGATTCCCGTATTTATTACAACTCTATTTAATTATTGTCAGTGTTTCAACTGAAGTCATATTTATTTGTGAGACTGTAAGTTCCACGAAGGCAGCAGAATACAGTGACCCATGCTTCTATTTTATGCCTGTGATCCTTGCCATAGTAGGGGCAGTGGATGGGCGCTCAGTAAATACTTAATAAACTGGGTTTTTTGCTTGTCTTTGGATAGTTGAGGAATGATGGGGTATGCTGGGATGATGTAAAACTGAACTTCAGGGCATGGAAACTACACTGTCTTATGACATCTGCAGGGACAGCACTGGGGTGGGGATGAGGGGCATCCATTTGAAAAGTAAATGATGAAAGATAAAATGTAGCTTAAAATGCCCAGCATGAAGCAGATACCCACTAAACATTTTATTCCCCGCCCATGCTCGCCAGCCCATCCCACCAAGCCTTTCCTTTGGGTGCCCCCCTTTTCTCATTCTAAACATTCTTCCCTTGTCTGCCACTTGAGAGGGTGCCAGTGTCAAGCTGACATTGCTGATGGGGTCATTGTACCTGGATGTACTGTCCAATCTGTGATGACATTTCCTGCTAATAAAAGGCAACACAACTCAAGTCTGGCAGCCTTTCCTTTCTACTTCTGGGCAAATGCCCAGGGAGACTGTGTTGTCTATCTGGCAAAGGCCTTCTTCCCAATAGCAAGACTGGGTGTTCTCCAGCCTCAAGCTCTGGCTGAACTTTGTAGTCGACATCAATCTAAAGCTATAATGTCTGTCTATGACCTTGCTCCAACATCTTAAGGGAAGGAGTATATGTAGGAAGTGGGATGTCTCTTCTTCCATGACCTCAGTGCTATTGCAGAGCCCCCGGCCCTCCAGGAAACCCAGATTGCACTCCTTCTCCACCTTGCTGTATGTTGTCTGCAACTGGCAAAGAGATGAGGGATGTTTCTGAAAGCAGAGAGATGTAATGGTTTGGGATGGTTCGAATCAACCAAAGTTTAGATAAGTGCACAAATGTCAATGCCAGACTGTGGAAGAAGGATAAGGGGATGACAAAGACAATTTCTAAAAGAGGGGAGATGCCAAGGTCAGGGTACTTATGTGCATCCGGTGAGGGGAACAGAGTAAAGAGGGTTTATGGCTGTATATGTGTATCTCACTAACACTAATGAGCCTGGCTCTGAAAATTTAGAATGCATCATCACGTAAGAATAAATTGCCCTTACCACAGAAGCTGAGATAAGTAGAAGCTCACTAGCAAGTGCCAACTTTTGGATCAGGGCAAAGATGTTCCCAGGAGTGTTTTCATACCAGGCCCCTGCCTAGCTTGTGGGGCTGGGGCACGTCCTCATGGTGCAGACCAAGAGCCTTCTACTTATATGAGGCCTGGAAAGGGCCCCTGAAGCCACAGCTATGCCTCTGCTCCAGCCTGACGCCATGTGATCTAGAGCCAGAGCTGCAGAGACCCTGTGACAAAAGACATTGAGAAAACACTCTGAGAATCCCACAGCCTGTCAGATGGCTTGGAAAGGAAGCTGGCCGCACTGGGACAAACGCTCTGCATGCCCAGAGCCCACCCGACAACCACAGGGGGCTGCAAATGTCTGTAAGAGGAGCTGGAGGCACAGCCATGCTCAGGGCACAGAAACATGGAGGTGAGAGTTGAGATGGGGCATGGGAGGTGATGAGGGCTCTGAGGACGAATGGAGCGGGCATTGGAAATTGGCAGAGAGAGAAGACTCATTGGCATCACTGTCCAGGCCCGGGGGCACATCCGGGGAGGTGAGTAAGGCAGGAACATTGATGTAGTCATCTGAATCAGTGTCCTCCATCTTGGCATTAGGCCGGTGGTAGAAACTCACATATTCACAGCTGGTCTTCAAAGACGAGGCGTGGAGCCAGGGAGCTTCAGACTCCTGGGAAAAAAAACAAAGAAGCATCACTAGATCTGGGCTGGGTGATTTTATCTCTCCTAGTGGATTTCCACAGTGGGCAATGGGGGGCATGGGCATGGTTGCTGAGCTCCATCAAGTGGGCCAGCCCTGGGGGTTTTCAGCATGGCGTCTCACCCTAGATAACTGGAAAACACTTGGATCTAATGTGGGCAGGAAACAGCTTCACTGGGGCTCAGACCAAAATCATGTGGCTAAGTGCAGGTCTGAAGGAGACCCAGCTGCCAGAGGAATATCCCCTCGGGGGTAAGATGATGTGACTTGTGGGATAAATATGCATCTTCTTAGGGAGTTATTCCAAAGTAGGGTGAGTCACCCTCTGCACCTCTGTAACGGCTCAGAGAGGCTGTGATGAGGCGTGACAGTGCATTCCAGGAAGGGGCTGGGTGGTGAGGAAGGAAGGAAGATGGCAGACCACGCGGGCACAGTGGTGCTCCTCTTCCCCAGACAGAAACTTCAGCATCATCCACCTTCAGGATGGCCAGTTCTCAGAAGACAGGGCTGTACCAATGACCCCAACATGGCTCAATTACTGTGACATCCACTGAAGGCCACGGTGGGGACCATCATGTATTTAAACACAAGTTCTGAGAACCGGAAGTCCAGCACCCTGAACGTAGTAGGCACTCAGTATGTACTCATTGAAAAGAACTTTTACATTTTGTATTTTACCAAAAGGGAAGCAGTAGCAGCTTGCTTCAAAAATGTATCTTTCCATCAGTCAAGGAAACGAGAAGCCACAGAATAGAAAGGAAAAAGAAGAGAAAGCTGAAAAAAGAAGTAACAGTGAGAGCAAAGAAAACTGGAAAATATAATTAGATGGACCTGGTGAAAATTTCAGAGAGGAGAAGGCTTAGTCAAGTAATGAACAAAAGAAGCCAATAAGCACAGGTGGGTACCACCCTATGAGATGATGTAGGACCACACGGTCAAGGAAGCCCTGGATCCTGGAACAGCTCACGCTGTCAGACTGAAGCAAATACGCAGCACATAACAAGAGAAGAAATGACACACGAAGTTGGAGGCGAGACAGAGAAAAGAGAGATGATCAAGATGGAGTTTCCAGTGTGAGAGGTAAGGGTGGTAATATCCCAGCTTCCTTCAGAGGCCGAGGGAGAGGCCGAGGATGGGGAAGAGGACGAGACAGAGGAAATCCTGATGTATGATGTGATTTTTTTGTTTTGTTAAACTACATGAATGTTGAACAAAAATGAGTAGGCCCTCTGTTAGTTTTTCACACTGTCCTCTATTATGTTTCAACTAATTTTTCATCGGATAATAAAAACGGTTTTAGATTTGTTAAAGCAAACAAACAGAAATCTATCTTCTACTGTCAGTTACAGTTCATCATTTGAGATTAATTTATTTGGCTCAAAATATGAAAATACTCCCCGTGAAGGCTAAAATAATTGGTTGTTAAGTGTATGTACCATGTTGTAAATTTGTTCTATCAAGGTTTTTGCCTCTAATAGTGGGAATGAGAGTTTCAGGGAGGGAGGCAGGGAAAGCTTTGAGCAAGGTCCAGGCCCAGGGGAGGGTCTGTGGTCACAGGTGTGTTCGCAGGGCATCCCAGAGAAAAGGGTGGTGGGAGGGAAGAGTAGACAGGCACCTCGCACCATGCCTAAGCTGGGTGAACCTCCTCTAGCAGGGGCGGGGAAGGGCAAGGTCGAGAAGCTGGAGGTGATGGTGGCAGAACTGCTACTTGTTGCTGGGTGTCACTCTCCCCTCTTTAGCAAGGCACACGATTGCCCAGCCAGGGCCTGTGTTTCTCAGCCTCCCCTGAAGGCAGGTGTCGCTACACGGCTAAGTCACAGCCAGCGGGATGTGGGTGGAAGTGATGCGTCAAAGTTCAGAGTCAGGGCGTAAGGAAGCAGCTTTCTCCTTCTCCCTCCTGGGGCTGGGATTTGCACATGCTGCTGGCGACTCAGTATTGACCACGGACCAGGTGAGACTCCAGGGGATGGTGGAGCAACAAGACAGAAAGAATTTGGGCCCCTGGATGACCACGTGGCTCAGGCCACCTCTTCCTGTCCCTCTGCATCTGAGCGCCTATTTGAGAGGAAAATGGGCTTCCATCGTGTGAGCCCTGTCTTTTAGGGTCTGTTGCATTAGCTTAGTCCACACTCGAATTAAAACAGGGATTTTTGCCACACTTAGTTTTTTTCTAGTTCCTGAAGTAATCGTGTTTTAGCCACTGTGGGCTACTTTAGAGCATAAAGTGCTTCCTCTTTCTAACTCAGGAAAACAAAGATGAACCATAAAGGCTTTTTCCCCATCCACCAATGGCTATTGATAGACACACCCCTTCCCTATGTCCATTATAGATTTAAAGATGAATCTCTGGGCTCCAAGGTGTTGAATCCGGTCTATATCTCCGCCACATCGTCCTCTAGACCAGGCCTACCTGCCTCCAGAGATGGGTAAATTACCTCCTCGCATCTTAGAAAGTTTACTAGAAAGTTCTCCCTCATATGCAGGTGAAACTGTCCGGGCAGCTTCCATCCCCTCAGGAGCTCCTAGAAATCTGATCTCTTCCACGTGAAAGCCCTTCACGTAATCGTAGCGTTACCATCTGTCACTCTCTGCTAAGTGCCGGCATCCAGCACCCGTTTGCCCCACGACAACTGCTTGGCTAAAAGCCACGCAGCCAAGTCTCCCCCAATTCCTGCTAGTCGGTCTCCTGTCACCAAGGAGGAAAGTGACACCCCAGCCCAGGAGCGGCGGTGGAAGCGCCCGGTGCTCGCCCAGGGCGGGGCCGCCCCGTCGGGCCGCGGCTGCCAATCAGGGGCGGGGCGGAGCTCACCTGCGGCGGCGCGGAGGGCGCCGAGGTTCCGGGGCCTGGGACCGGGGCCTCCCCGTCGCCTAAGGGAACGAGAGGGCGGAGATGAGGGCGTGGCCGAGGCTCGGGCCCACCCGGCCCCAGCCCAGCCCGGACCCGCGTTCCCGGGGCCTCCGCGCTCACCCGCCGCGTCCGCCGGCCGAGCGCGCCGCGGGCAGGCGCTGTAGACGTTGCTCTGGGAGCGCAGCCGCCGTGACGTGCCGGGCCGCTGCGCCAGGGGCCGCTGCGAGGCCTCCAGGGCGCGCATCCGCAGGGCCAGTCGGCGGACTCGCCTGGAAAGGGCTTCTCGGCCAAGCCACAGGGAGAGAGGGAGAGAGGAGAATGGCATCAGAGGCCCATGGCGCCCTTGCCCCTTCCCCGAACTAAACGCTGCCCCCTTCTTCATGCTTGCCCGCTCCGACGTGGGGATGCTCGGTAAAAGTGTGCAGAATGCACGAGGCCCAGCCTTGCCTTCCAGAGAAGACCAAAGGGCCCAGGCCGTTCCTCTCCTCTCCCCATTTCCAGACCACGGACCCCCACCCCACTTCCATACACCCCAGGCCGCTCATCGGAATGTCCCTGGCTTTCCCCTGAAGTCCACATGGGGGCCGAATGCTCTGGGCTCTTTGGGCAGCTCAGCTCTCCGTACCAAAGCCCGAGCCCAGGCGCTCACCTTTCCTCCTCTGAACGGCCCTTTTCACCAACAGCCCCAGAAGGACCAGCAGGAAAAGGCCCAGGGTGGTCGGGATCAGGATGTGGAATCCTGGGCCTTCCCTCCCAGCCTGTGAGCCACGGTTGGGTGCTCTGGGGAGGGAAGGAAAGGGAGAGAGGGAGGAAGAGAAGGTTAGTCGGTGAGGTAGGTTAAGGAAGCAGCGGCGTTGTTTGGAGACGACTCACAGGTTTGTCCTTTTGTTAACAGAATTCGCCCCACTCTCCCCCCAAAAATTTGCCTATGGAATCAGGAAACTTGGGTTCAAATTCAGGTTCTGTCTTTTACTGGCTGTGTGATCTTGAACAAGTCTCCTCACTTCTTTGAGCCTTATTTCCCCATAAATGGATAGTAAAACCTATTTCACAGAACTGTTATGAGGATGAAACAAAATAGCAAATATAAAGGATTTAATGCCCCCGTCCAATGGAACGTTCAATGAATACCGGTTCCGCTTCCAATGTTTGGTTTCTTCACAAGATTATTGCGAATATTGAATGAGCTAATTCCTCTCTCATAGTGCTCCCTCTGCCTAGAAGGTGTCCCCTCCACTGCATTCTCTCTACATATTGAAATCTTACTTTGCTTAAAGGGACAGTGCATAAGTCCACTTTTCTTCCCCACCCACGGTAAACCAGAATCAATTTTTTCGTGCTCTGTGTTCCTAATTCTTCTGCTCGTGCCCTTACAAACCTCATCACAGTCAGACGTATGTTAGTAGGACCAAGATATTGCATGTTTTCATTTTTTTACATCTTCAGGAAATAGCACAGTGCCAGGAGCATAGTAGAGACTTAGAAAATGTTCGTTGGAATTTTCCTGATACCTTCTCCACTGATAGGCTGGTGGGATTTACTGAACTAGGAATCAGGAGTCCTGGTTCTATTCGAAACCACTAGCTCTCGGGACTTCAGTTTCCTCACTTATAGAACCCAAATGATGTTGGAGGTCCCTTTCCTCATAAAGTATGTGTCTTCGCTTATGCAAAAATAATTCCTGCTATTACAGATTTTCTTTGGAGCCTGCTATAATGCTGCCCCCTAGTGGTTTACTTCAGTACTTCCTGGACTGCGCTCCAGCCTTTAGACCAGTGCTGTCCAATAGAAATATGTGAGTCACGTATGTAATTTTAAATTTCCTAGTAGCCACATTAAAAAAGTAAAAGGAAACAGGTGAAAGATGATTTTAATATATAAGAGTTTAACAGTTAATTTTACTTTTATCCTCACTTAGTTCTTCCCTATCAAAACAGATTTGAATGAATCTGAGTGACTGAAAGATCTGGGTCTCACTTCTTTCTACAGAGTCAATGCTGGGGCATGGACAAGTGTCTTCTTGCTAACGGGACTAGTGAGTTAATGTGCTGTACTCATGGGTAGTATATTTTGCAGAGGCCGTCTAGAGACAACGCCAAGGAGGCTCTCTAATAGTGGACACTGCAGGAAGATATCAGTGGATCTCCCAATTCCAGCCTACTTTGCCTGGGGTCTGGCCCATCCTGTGTGTGGACTCTTACCTCTGTCTGTGCAGCCTGGTGTGGTGGTTGTAGCTGGCGGTCTGCGGCCCGAGCAGCCTCTCCCGAGCTGAGATCTTTGAGGCTGTGGTGGATGGTGGGAGGGTTGGGGGCTTGGTAGCTGCTACGGAAGATGCTCTGGAAACTCGAGGGTGGTGGATGATTAAGGTGGTGGGGGAGGGGTGGTGGGCTGGAGGGGCCTCAGTCCTTTGAGCCTGTGTGGTAACTAGAGGAAACAGCAGGATAAAGTGATCTTCCATGTATAAACTCTAGTCTCCAGCAGGCTTGAGTCACCATCTCTTTCCTCAGTACACCCTTCCCTTTTACACAGAATACCTTTGTTCTTGCAGTCCTCATGGCCTGAAACACTTAGTCAATTCCAAGCATATTTGCTTCCAATACCATTTCTTCCAGGAAGCCTTCCCTGACTTCTTAGGCAGAGGAGCTTGCCCTCCTCTGAGCGGGGAGTGGGGGGAACCTTGTTTGTAGTTCTGTTCCCACCCTGCCTTGTGCTGTATGTGCGTGCTTATCTATTCTCTCCGTCCTACGTCTGTCAGCCACAATCTTGGCGATATGATCTGCTCAGGTACACCATACCTCTTGGCCCCCAGCAGAGTCCCCTAGCGTAATGATGTTCAATTAATGTATCTACTTCACTGGATATATGGGAGGATATGATGGAAATATTGCCTATCAAAATGTATTTAAAGCTGGAAAATGATATCTAAATGCAAAGGTATGGTTAATATGATCATCGTCAATCTTTTAGGTGCAAAATAGAGTTGTTAAAGCCACTAGACACCAGCAGGTAGAAGACAGCCCTAGGGGGGAGCAGGATGCATGATGACCTCCAGCTGGGAAACGTCTGCCCAGTGTTGGTTTCCGCAGTCATTCATAAAAGAGCAAGATTTTGTGAATGGAGCACAAACTTCATTGCTTATGGTGCCACCTGGTGGTGACATGTATGTTCTGCGACTAGGGCCGGGTGGCCTGGCTGTAGGGTAGGTTTGAATGATATGGAAAGCAGATCCCAGGGAGGTACCCTCTCCCAAGGCAGGGAAATACACATCTGAGACTCAGCTCAGCTCTGCCAGCCACTCTGTGAACTGAACACACCCTGTCCTCCATTCTCACCATGTCACAGCATCTTCCCCACCTCTCCCACCCTCGCTGTGTGAACTGACCTTTGGATATGAATTTGGACGAACTGGTGCGTGTAGGCGCCTGGAACCAAGGGGGCATGTGCAGATGCAGAAATTTATGAAACCATTTTGGAGGCTCAGGCATCAGCTCCTCTTCCCAGAATGGCTCATACTCTATTGGAGGCAAGAGAAATATGTTGATGGTTTGCGGGGAGACCGAGTCTTGAGGAAGGGACTGTTGGTGTAAACAGAAGGTCGCTCAGCTGGGGTGGATGGCAGGGAGGTGAGGTGGGCAGGGTCCACCAAGAGGGTCAGAAAAGGAACTGAGCTGGAGGCTTCCCTGAAGGAAATACTCATCCCCCCAGCCCAGTTGACATTCCCTGCAAAACCATCAGAGGCCGCTGGGATTCCCAGGGATAAGCAGACACTCACTGGGGTTAAGTGCTGCATTGGTGGGGAAGTCAGCGGAGGAAATGAGAAAGGCGGGTTCAGGGAAATAAAGGATCAGATCACAAAGAAAGTAGCAAGTTCGGCTCACAAATGCGGCTTGAGAAATGAGCGTCTTTCCTGTATATTCATCCCAGATATTTCTCATGGGACAATTACATAGGACAGTTATGTCCTTTTGCTTCCAATTTCCTCCCATCTCAGAGCCTCTCCTTGACCTCAAGCCCGGAATAGGGTGGGCACTGCAAGGAGAGCGCCCATCTTCTTCCTCTCATCCACTTTGGATAGAAAATTCTGTGGACCATGAAATTCATTGACTGTGAGGTTTCAACTAGGTGGATCCCAATTTTGCGGCTAATACGGCAACAGCGTGAGTCTGGGGACTGCTACAGTTAGATGGCCGGGTGGAAACGTGTTCTGGGGGGGAGGCGCTGAGCCCGCGATCAGCTGAGGTACCTACCGCTGTGGACGTTCAGGGTGACTTTCTGGGTCCTCCCCTTGTCTGTGTTTGTGCCCGCGCCACAGGCATAGGCTCCGCTGTCACTTTCGGTCAGCTCTGTCACCTCCACTAGGAACAGATCCTTGTCCGGGCACAGCTGCAGAGTGACTCGGCCCGTGTATTCCTTCTTGATGAAGTTGGTGCTGGACACCACAGTAGCACATATTCCAGAACTGCTTGTCTCCCGGCACAGATATATCCTCGCTTTCGTTTTAGGAAGTGGGCACTCGATGATAACGGATCCGCCCGGCTCCCCCTCCACATGGACTTCTGGGAGGATCTTCAGAGCCCCCGATACTGCAGGGAGAGGAAGTTAATGCAGAGGGAGCTGCAGCGACAGCTCTATCCCACCCCCATCCACTTCCCCAGCTTCAGCCCTCTTTGCAAGCCAGCCCAGGCCCCAGCCCAGCCCCACGAGCCCTAGCCTCATTCTACCCTCTTCCCATCCCCAACCCTACTCACAACCTTGGGCCAGCTCTATGTCCATCCCCAGTCCTATGCCCAAGGCCCAACCTAACATCAGCCCATCAGCAAACCCAAACCCATGTGGACCCAGACACCAACCCCCTGAGAAGATAGTCAAAACTACAATATCCACTCCAAGGAGACGTAATAGGTCTCGGGTGACCCCAAACAGCGTGCGGCCCCCGCGAGACCTCAGCGTGGTGTGGGGAGGCGCGGCACGGTCCCGCTGCAACAGGCTTTGCTCAGAGCCATCCCTGCAGCCGTTCATCTAGAGTTCTATGTACCAAACCAGTCAGCAGGTATTCACTCAATGCCTGCCCTGTGACAGTAACCTCGCCGGCATCCCTCCCTCGCGGCGTGCGTCACACACTGGGCGATGCCAGTGCACGGCCACTGCGGCGGCGGCTAAATCCCGCGACAGCCGCGGCTGGGGCTCCTCGGAAGGCGCGAGCAGGCGCACCCGGTCCGCTGTTGCAGGGGGTGTAGTTGGAGAAAGGCTTTCCGGAGGGGGCGATATACGAGTCGAGGCCTGAGGAAGGGGCTCAGAGGCCAGCTGGGGGAGTGACACAGCTCGTCGTGGAGGCAGGGAGCACAGGAGGGGAGCAGGGCCAGTGGGCGTGTGCGCGGGTGCGCGGGTGTGCACACGCCGCATGCGTGTGGGGAGGCGGTGGAGCGGGAGGATAAACGATGTGGTTCCCGAGTCCCTGAGATCAGAAAGCTCATGCTTTGGGTGACCGAAGGCGGGTCTAACAGACTCGAGCCAGCTACAGAAGAGGGTTAGGCCATGTCTGATCAAGTGTCAGCTAAGTGGGTCCCAGTAAGTGTCTGCTTATTTCTGGGAAGAGGGTTCACAGGGTTGCGGTGGGGCTGGAGGGCCGGGGTGGAGGAGGAGAGAGCCCAGATGGCAAGAACAGTCCCCTCGAAGGCCAGGACGTGGGAGAGAACATAGCACGTACGTGGGTGGAGAGAAGTTCGCGAAGGTGCTGAGATTTATCCACAGATCACGCATTAAGAATAGCTGCAAGGAGCGAGTCCCATGAGAGTCAAGGAAAGCTTCGAGAAAGAGGCGGGCTTGAGGCTTTGGGATAAGGATGTTGTAGGAGGGGTGGGGGAAGAAGGCACGTGATGGTAAAGAGCTAGAAACAATCGTGGGAGCCGGGGCGGGCCTCGGGGAGGGCGGAGAGGGCCTGGAGAGGGAGCACTTAGAGGAGCACGTCGAGATCTAAACGTGGAGCTGATGTCAACGTGGTAGGGCGAGGCCACCCAGAAATAGCTCTGACACAGATACCCCCACACGAAAATCCCAGCGCTGCTTTCAGCCTGCCAGACACTGAGTCATGCGGTAGCCTCCCAGGTGGAACGTGGCAATGGAAGGGTGACCAGTTCACAAAGTGTCAGTCAAAGGACAAAGACCCAATCATGGGGGTGGGTGGGGGAATCACCCTGTGTGCCCAGACAGGCCCCACCTGTGTGGGAAGCTGAGCCCTGAGGGTGGACGTGCATGGAGGTTTTTGAATGAGACTAACCTGGCCAGGGAAGGGGTGTGGATGCTGCTTTCCCAAGAGCAAGATGTTATCAAGAGAGCAGGGCAAGACAGCAGACATGCGGGGCGTCGCCTACGCAGATGCCTCCAGTGGCCTCAGTCTGCTCAGGGTCGAGCTTTGGGTAGATGCCTGGCTTGTCCATCCACATCCTCCACAGTGCACGTGAGACTCACCAACTCGCTAGGATGCGATGACCTGGTCCTGCTCCTAAGCATGGTGATTACATCTGTCTAGGGCAGGGCCTAGGAGTCTGATTTTAAGTCAACGGTCCAGCTTCCCTTGCACTTCTGCAATCCTGGGCTATAGAACTGCATGTACAGATGATGTGGGGGAAGAAAGGGAGGGGTGATAGAGGGTATCTAAAGGAACCAACCTGTTCAATATTAATATTTTAGAGAGCCTACCAAGTAAGTGACGTTGATGTCTAAATTGGTGACTTGATTTTTAGTGGTGATGGTAGGGGAGAGGGAGATATGGGGTTTTAAGAGTCACTGTCTATATATAACTGGATGTAAATATGTGTTTGGAACATAAAAAATCCTGTGATTTTCATAATGCAAAATAGAGTCAAGGTCTGTAGGGTCTTGGTGGCTGGCGTTGCTCTGGAGACAGACTCCGGCCTCCATGTAGTGGTGATGTCCTAGAGGACCTCATCAACTCAGATCAGAGCAGCATCTTGTTAAGAGGCGAGGTGGCCTGAGATTTTTATGTTTGTCAAAAGGGGCGTGGAATTTTTTTTTCAAAAAAAGGATGAGGAACATCCCACTCAGCTTCCCACTTCCATATACGGTAAGCTGGGCGTGTCCTGGCTGCTGCTCCAGACAGTGAATGAAGCATCCGCCTCCTTTCAGAGGCCGGTCCCTCCCACTGTGTCCCAAGTCCGTCCTTCTCATCTTTTTAGAACTTCTTGTCTGTAGTGCTCCCTTTTCTCTCCCTCACCACTGGGTGCTCCTCTCCCAGCATTGCCATAGCTTACATGCATGCTCTGGTACTGCCCACTTTTAAAGACCTTCAGTGACCTTTTCCCTCCTCTCCACCTGGCAACCCACCTCTCTGTTCTCCTTCTCAGAGTCCTCAAAGTCACTAAATCAAACTCACTTCCCCACTCCTAATTTCTCTTCAATCTCCTTCCGTCAGAATTTTGTCTCCAACATTCCATGGAAATTGCTCTTGTCAACTCATCAAAGTTGCCCTGTTGCCACATTCAACGGTCCCTTCTTTGTCTCCGTCTCACTCACCCTGCCAGCAGCAGTTGGCAGAATGGAGCCCTCCCGCCTTGGGACACTGCCTGTCTCGGCTTCCCTGGCGCAGGCTCGGTGGCTGCCGCCTGTCAGACTCCTTCTTCCTTCTTCTCTTCCACTTCCCGGTGTTGGGCGAGCCCAGTGCCTGCGACTTGGGCCCATTCCTGTCTCTGTCCTCCCTCCCTCTCCCATCTCACTAGCTAAGGGTACTCCCGTGGGTTTCAATGCCAGTTCTCTATAGATTTTGCCAAAATGTGATCTCTAGTCTTACCTTACACACTCTGAGCTCCAGACTTGCCTCTCTGACCTCGCCACTTAAATATCTAAGATATATTCCAAACTTGCACGGCCAGAAAACCC